CAAGCCCTCCTGGGATTTTTGAATGTGCAAGTCCAAGAAAGCAATTTTTCTCCCAACTTCCTTCTCCCACGTGAAGTGTATAGTGGCATATATTTTTGATAAATGATGATCTAATACCCGGAAGGAATCTTCCGTATCCTGCCACGCTAAAAGAATATCATCCACGTATCTCAAATAAATTAAGGGGTAAGCTATGGTGAGAGGGAATTTAAAAACGCTGTGTTCAACGCGCCGCATGACGAGCTCTGCCAATACAGCTGACAGTGGTGAGCCCATTGGCACCCCCTGCTTCTGCAAGTAAATCTTTCCGTTAAAGCGGAAGTAATTGTGCTCCGTAATAAAGAGTAATGCTTCGCGAACTTCTAAAACTTGCTGTGCACTAAAGCCCTCTTTGATAAGTAATGCATTGGCTAGCATTACCGCTTCGAAATGCGGTACCGAAGGGTACAAGGCGACTACATCCATTTTATAAAATGTGTAAGCATCTGGACTCAAGCCAGCCAGCGTAGCGCATAACCTCTCTTTAGCCGCGACAGATGAGGTCACTACTTGGGAGGAGGTTTTGATTGAAGAAGAAGTTTTGATTGACATAAGTTGGCGTGACATCCAACCCGTGAACTTAATTCCATTCAGAATTTTTTTTTTTTTTAAAAAGTTTGGTTTTGTTAACCAAAAACACTTTGCAAACAATTGTGCATGCGTAGTTATGTATATGCATCGTAGCCACTGTATATAAACAAACAATTACAATCATATTTACATGCATTTAAATACAAGAAAGAGTGAAAACTGTATTGTCTGCTTCCTTTATTATCCAATTACAGTCTTTTAATTTTAGTTAAAAATCATCATTGGGTTATTCCAAAGACGTCTCTCAAATATTTTAATCTACATTCAAAACCTGATGCTAAATCTTGTTCAAAATATATAATAGATGGTAACTGAATTTTGTAAAGAAAATATCCTTATAATATAGTTTATTGTTTTTGGTCTCTTGTAAATATGTGATTATATTTTATTTATTAATATAAGTACGTAAATTAACTACAGCCTTATTTTTAGAAACCACATAGGTTTCTAAAGAGATCATTTCAGGCTATCTGAGAGATCATTTCAGGCTATAATGTGGCTACTATTTAATAATTAAATCTTAATTAATTTTGTCTAGAGGTAGGCATTAGGCATCGTCTGTTGATAAATTTAATAATCGAAGACAAAGAGTAGAAGTCCTGGTAGCATAACCGTCAATGGATCAGCATGGTGTGCATGCATTGCAAGTTTGAGTCCCCCTCTGGGCCAATTCTTTTCTTCCAGAACTTTCCAAATGAAATATTGAATATTAATTTATTTATATTTTGAAATTTCTAGAAGAAAAGAATTGGCCCAGAGGGGGGACTCAAACTCGCAATGCTTGCACATTGTTATATTTAACTTAATAGCATGTTAAGAAGTCAATACAACAATATTTCCTTCACACTAAAGTAGATATGTTCTAATCTGCTGCAAGCATTTACATACAGCTAAGTCATTAAAAAAATGTATGTAAAATTATTACAATGATAATTAAGTTTAAAAAGTAAAAAAGTAATTTCATAAAATTGGTGAATAACTAAAAATAATATAATATAATTATAGACACAGTTCAGTGATAACAATTAATCAATATCAATAAAATAGTAACACTTCAAATACTTTGCCTTTAATCATTAAAAAAAGTTTCAGGAATACAGAATTCAAACAGAAAACCTTTTCATAATTTAAAACATGAAATAAAATGACAGATAATTCCNAGTTAGCTGCTGCTGGATCGAGATCAGAGAAAATTGTTAAAAAAAGAATAGTTTATCGTTTGAATACACAGAAATTACAAATACGAGAATTAAAACAAAGTTTAGTAAAAATTACTTTTGCTTTCATTACATTCTACAGCGTGTCTAAATGGGAATTTGTTACAAAATATATCCATGCGTCTTAAACTCCCAGCCACAAGCAGCTATAATGGCATGTGCTAATTTTTTCGGTTAGTTAAAATCCTCGAGACATTAAACTGTTGCACTATTAAAGCTGTTTGTTGCTGGAAGTTAGGTGCGTTGATATATTTTTAATTACATTCATTTGTTTAGAGCTTTAAAAATAAGAAATGTTTTTATTTTTATATTTTAAGAATCTCATTTTAAAAACAAAATAGTATGTTAGCCCAGTATATCCTTTTGGTTTGAAAATATCAAGTAAATAAAAATCAGATGACGACAGCTGCAGGATTCATTGATTTCGTTAATTGAATCTCTTTCAAATTTTGTATTCCATCGAATGATTTTTTACGTATTTACGTTTTTTTCACCTGATGAAGAACCTTAAATCGGTTCGAAAACGTTTGTGGGAACTTTTTCTTGATAATTTTATTTAATATCGTACTGTAAAGGTTTGTAGTTGTTTAATTTTAAATAAAAATCTTTACTTCTTTCCAAGAAAGAGTTTTTAACGAGGTCAACAAATGTTTTTGGCTTAATTCTTATCCCCATAATTGTCACTACATTAAGAACTCTTACTAGAAAAGAAGCAAAGGCTTTTATTTACTTGTTAACGAAGCCTTTTCTGGTTAGGTTGTGAAGTGATAATCTAATTATTACATTTAATTAAAAACATTATCAGATTTAAAATTTTTTAAATGCTATTTTCAATAGTCTTGAATAAGAAATGAAGTGTGCTTGCAATAAATAAGTTGATTTTTATCATTTTTTAAATTTTAATTCTTACTATTACATAAATTGATTGTAATGGTAGTAGTTAGTTAATTAAGGTACACAAAAAGAGAGAAAAAATACAAAGCCTTAACAAGTAGCAAACAAGAAAGTGTGCATTTTCATTAAGAACTTATTTTTCAAAAAGGGTTTTTAATTTGCAAGATTCTTAAAATTTCAGTTTATTATTATTATTTTTATAATATCAAAGTTATGTATAAAGAATAGGGTTAAAAGAATTTACTGAACCATGTTACTGTTTATAAATTTTACTAGACACATGGTAATTTTGTTATTTCCATCTTTGCCAAAATTTGCAACTGCTATTGCCAATAATCATTGTTGGGGGAAGCATTTGAAAGTGTTAAGTCATATTTTAATTATTAAAAATTCACCATTTTTTAGCTGTTCTAAGTTATTTTAAGGAGCCATAGTTAAATGTGTTGAAAGAAATTTTGCATTTGTTTTGAATAAATTTAAATATAAACTTTAAAAAAGATGTGGACATGAACATCAAAACAAGTATAATTTCTAAGTGACAATTTAATAGAACAACATTTGTTCACTTTGATTGGTTAACGATTCAATTTTATCACACGTGATTTTTTGTTGCTAAGCAAATTATAATTAAATTCCAAATTAAATATATAGTTTTGACTAGCAATTCAATTCAATAAATTTGAAATAAATCTGTATATAAATATACATTTCCAAAACAGTAAACATTTATAACAAGATACTCAGTTTCTATTCTAAGTATAATTGAAATAAACTGTTTATACTACCTTAAATTTCTATAAGAATTAATTAACATAATCTGTCATTTCTTTTATTTCAGATTATTAAAATAATTCCTTAATTTCCAAGTAGCTTTTGAACCTTTTGGATCGTCGTCACATATAGAAATTAAAGAGAAAAATCTATAGAATTCAAGCTGAATACTGTCAGCTTTCAAATACAAAAACAATTTGAGTTTGAAAGCTGAAAATCATGATACTGGAAAGCTGACTTTATGATGATGAGCTAATGTCATTGTCATGACTGCCATTAAGTAAATAAAATAAAATAAAAAAATACATTGTCATCACCACAAGTAGACTATCTTGAAATGGTTTAATTTTAAAAACAGAAAAAAAAAAAAAAAACACCAGAAATTACAGAAGAAACTTTATAAAATTTAAATTGAATTAAGTTTCTTCTGTAATTTCTACTCCTGATGAAGAGCCAAAAGATGTGTAAGCTATTTGGAAGTTAAAGTATTCTAAAGGTCTTCAATAAAAGGGAAAACAGTGCACTTAGAGATATAGATTTTGGTTTTCAAAACAAAGCAATTACATAAAAATGAGGGCAACTGATTTATCATTGGTACTCGTTTCACCGATTATATTATATTAAATATTTTGTAATAAAATTCAAACCTTAATTATTTATACTCACGTCCTAGAAAAATCCACTTGTACCGAATGATCGATGACGAGATCGGCAGGACACAACGGATTGATTTTCTCGGGATTACCGCCTAAATTTGCTACTGCATCCCTCATTGCTGCAAAATCAACAACAACTGGAACTCCACTAGAAAAAAATTACACATTTTTTGCTTAACATTACCTATATTGATAAACTACAAATTAATAAATCTTAAATATACCAAAAGATAATGAGGCAATTTATTTTTTCCGCTCGATTACATGTCATAATTTCATGTAGATAACCTGTGGGTGTGCATGTTTGAAAGTCAATGTAGATTACACAATGATGCACGTCATCTTATAATAACTACAATGATGTTTTGAATTAAATTACTATGTTAATATTAGTACAAGATAGTAAAACAACTGCTTAACTTCAGAATAAATCATTGTACATTATTTATTAAAAGTTAGCCAAAATATAAACCAAATAATCTGGCATAAGACGCAGGGTACTCAGTGATGTAGATTGTGCAAAGGTTGTTTTTCATTCTCTCCAACCCAAACAGAAGTTTGATGATTCAGACTGAATTCAAATCTGCATCCTTTAAAATGGCAAAATGATATTTACTACACATTCATACAGAGTAAATGTTCATAAACTGAATATCACTTCCAATATGTCTGCATCTCCCAGCCCCCTTTTAATGAGAATATTATATTTTATTTCATCTCCCTTGTTCATCTTACTTAAATGATTTTTATATTGATATGAGGAGAGCATGATGCATTTTGTTTTGGTCATAAAGTAATTATAAATTTAAAAACTCTCTAAATAATAGTAAAAATCAAACTTGGCAATAATTTTGATTGTTTGAAGTTGGCTTTGAAACCACTCCGACTACAAACTTATAAAAAAACCCAACCAAACAACAGCTATAACCCGAGATGACTTTTTATTTGAGTTAAACTTGGAATAAACCAGTTCCTGCATGACACTTTGCTTTGAAAACAAGACAACCCTAACTATCAAATCTGACCTTTTTGCATACAAAAGATTTAAACAATGTAGTGAGGATGGCACAACCTTGTCACGATAGGAGCCACATACACGTATTGGAAATACACAATAACCACATCCTGTATTGGAACGGATATTTTATATTTGTATATATGTTTAGGATGGATCCTACTTTAATGCTATTATATATAGAGTAGAGAGGGTATGGATTTTGATTTTGGTATATGTACGCTGCAGTTTTATGGCTATATTGCCACTAGCAATATAGTCATAAAACTTTCACCACTCTATTTTTTAAGTGAAAAAAAAAAGAAAGGAAATAATAATAATAATAATAAATTACTTATTGAGGAATATATGTATTCAATAACAATTTACAAAATGAACTTTTTGACTTTCAATAATTCATAAATTCTTACGTAAAATCCTGAAGTATAACTCTAGCAGGTTTGAAGGCAACTTCCACACCCGAACGATCCGTTTGAAGCGCTTCCCAATTTAGTATGTTCTTTACGTCATCTTCCTTCACATGAAAATTATCGCAACAACGAACTGCTGCTTCTAATAATACTCTTATCGAAAATGGAAGTCTTTCTGCAAAAAACAAAAATAAAAACAACGACTGAAACAGTAATAAACAGAAAAACGCAGAATAAGTTCAAAATAATTTAATTGATATTTGAAATATGTAAGTGTAAACTCAAATTGTTGTTCAAATTGTTTAAAATATTTATCATTTTAAAGGTTCCTTCACTCTTAGTAATAAAGATTATTATAGTAGTCACTCAACCAAATGTTCTCCTTAAACAATCATGCTAGAAATCTGCTGTTATTAATGATTAAATACTAAGTAATTTGGTACTAGAGGTAGAAGTTAGGTGCAATCTCATCAATTTTGATAACAGATGTCACCTAACATCTACCTCCAGTACCAAATTTAGTATTTAATCATTAATAATAACAGATTTCTATCCTGATTGTTTAAGGAGATCATTTGGTCGAGAATCTATGTATCAGGCTTTGGGATGTTTAGTATACTTAAAGTATTCACACTAGCATATGAATTTCAATAATTTGATGATAAAAATTAAATTTGTAATGTACTCTGTTGTTTATACAAATTATTTAATGGAGAAATGAGAAAATCTTTTTTAATTGTAAGGCCACTTATCGTTTCAGATATATAACTTGAACCTTAAGAGATCTTGACACAGGCATCAAGTTTTATATTAGTAAAGGCAGTGATGACAAGGAAAAAAAAAATACAATACTTATTTGCATGCCATTTTTAAAAATTAATTTATCTGAAAAGTGATAAATGGGTTTTGGCATATGTATTTCCATATTATATTTATTCACTGCAGGAGAATCCACAGTCTTTTGTGACTTCTCTAGATCATTTAATATATTTTTATATATAAAACTAGATTTTCACCAGCATGCGAACTGCTACAAAGTGAATACAAACTGTCAGTTCGTCCCCTTTCAGTGACCATTTGATTGGTTTCAATAAGCGTCAAGAATATTTTGACTTTTGCCAAACTATGGTTCGTTTGACCAATCAACTTTTCACAACTTGCATTCAAAATCTTTTTAATCTATCACATCCTAACTTAGTTTGTGTCACGTAGTACAATGCAAACAATATTTCATTTCGGTTAGTGTTTGTTTTGTTCGCTTGCAGTGGTTCACATAGTATAAAGTTCAATTCGTACTTATTTTATATCAAACTTTTCTTTTTTACCAATATCTTTTTATTAAAATACCTTAGTACTGATATGAAACCAAATTGTGTTTTGTGTACTTGTGACTTGTCAAAGTAGTAAATACATTTTATTAGAATCTGCTGTAAACTTTTTTCAATCTCTCTATCTTCAAATATTTATAGAACTGGTAAAAATTTCAAATTTCTTATTTTCTTATATTTAAAATCAAACAATGTCGATACAACAAAACTAAAGAACTAACTACCAAAATTTAATTTTTCTCTCCTATTAGAATGATTCCCAATAACAGTATCACTAACATACAGTCTCTTTCCCATTATTAATCATTATTATCACTTAATACTTCAGATAATATTACCATTATCTCGGTTTATAGTTTACAGACAGACAGAAATAAATTTTCAGTTTGATATTTTTTAAGTAAATAAAAAGTAAATAGTAAATAATGTATCAAAACACTTCAAATAGTTCAGTTATTATTTTAAATGGATAACAGTACTATTTCTATATAACAAATTCTATCTTGAACAACTGATGCTCAATCCCATCAACAGCTTGCATTAGTTAAGGTTTCCATTCAGAACTTCTTCTTCCAAGAACGTCAGTCTATGAGGCGTTAAATATACTTGAAATTATTTTAATTTACGAGCGCTTTCGACGTAAATAAGCACGTCATCTTCAGGTAAAATTAAATTCGAATAAAGAATTCGAACCATACATTTAAATTTAAAACATTAACGATACTAGCCGTTTTTGAACATACAAAAAAGATTTTAAATTTAAATTTTTAGAATTAAACATTTAAAATTGGTGCGCATGCGTTTTAAAACAAATAAACATCGATTGGAGTGGCTATTAATTATTTTGTGAACNCTAATATAATTATTTAATTTTATGTTTAATTTATTTAAATTTGTTTGAAAATCTTTATTAATGTTTGTAATCTTTAAGACAAGCTAAATATACAAGGTGGCATAAAAGTCTCATTAGAAATTTAATAGTTTTACAATTATTTGAGAATGAGCTTGGGAGATGCCTTTAACAACAACAAATTGAGACAATTTTGCTGCCTGGTTTGAGTAGTTATTGCTGTATTGCAGAGATAGTCAACGTCAAGCACGTTCATAGAACTATAACCCATAATAGAGGTGAAACTCATTGCAAAGTTTTAAAAAAATAGGAAGTGTGAAGGACTAACCAAAAAACAGGCAGTGAGAATTACCACAAATGACGAGACTTTCCACGACCCCTAGTGATACTAGTCGAGAGTCCAAGGAAGAGTATAAGATGCTTATCCCTGAAAACTAGAGCAAGCCATCAGACTGTCCACAGGAACAAATGGCATCTGTACAAAAGATAGTTGTTTCAATACCTCAGCAATGATGATTATAACAGACCAATGAAATTTTGTAAATGGGTGCAAGGAAAGATTGTAGACAATGACAACTTTGTACCTGCATGTGCTAGAGGATACAATTATGCCCATGGTGTTAAATGAGGACAGTGACTTTTCCTGCTTATTTTCAGCAATATGGTGCACCACCTCATTATGTTAGGATAGTGCATGTTTGGCTGAATTACAAGTTCCTGCATTTGTAGATTGGATGACATGGTTCTGTCAAGTGGCTCAAATGGCCACTGATCCCACTAGTTTTTTTCTGTAGGGCTCTTTGAAGGTAATAGTCTACTAGAGAAGATTCAGGACACACATTATCTAAAAGCATGGATGCATGCACTTATGTAACACATACCAAGCTCAAGGGTGTATGTCATAACTGGACACGTGCATTCAAAGGTGCCCATATCAAACACATTGTAATGTGCAGAAATAAACAGAACATGAAAGAGAACTTGTCCTATGTAAATTTCTCCTATTTTACAAAATTACTATTAAATTAGTTCTGGCAATTTATATTAAAACACAACCTAGAATTTAATTTTGAATAATACATGTTTTTTGGTTGGTTTAACTAGCCACCATCAGGTTCAAAATGACATTTTTGGAATCCTTTAGTTGCATGTAGTTTGAACCCGATGACGGCTACTTAAGTTAGCCGAGAACATTTCGCTGAATCGATAAGACAGAAAAGGCACTAGCCTGCTACGAGAGATTCAGGTTGGCTAAAGTTTTCTTACATTAGATAGGCTGACCTGGATATTGGGATCATCCCTGAACATTTAACTGTGACTCTGGAGCAATTCATAATGGATAAAGAAAAAGAACATTCTTAGTAATCACAGAGCCAAGAAGGGGAAGAAATTATGAATAATTTTCATTGCAGTATTGGCGCACAGTATTTTATTATATTATGTAAATTTTGACATTAAAAAATATTTTAAAACACCTTTATCCATTACGAATAATTTTCAAACCATTTGCAATTATAAGTTCCAGTGCTTTTAAAGTACAAATTAATTTGTTTGAATTTGTTTAACATTAAATTCCATATATCAAAAATAAAATTATATTAAGTATTTCATACTCTTTTGGTAGTATTTAATTTNAATAACTAAAAATAATATAATATAATTATAGACACAGTTCAGTGATAACAATTAATCAATATCAATAAAATAGTAACACTTCAAATACTTTGCCTTTAATCATTAAAAAAAGTTTCAGGAATACAGAATTCAAACAGAAAACCTTTTCATAATTTAAAACATGAAATAAAATGACAGATAATTCCTCCTATTGTGTAAAAACACATTTCATAATGCAATTATTTTGTGTATAATATATGTATACATACAAACTGAACTTCTACTAAAGTTTAAACAATACACAATCATTTCTTTTCAAGAATTTCTTGTATAGATGTTTTTTAAAATATGTTAATTCATCACTACATTCTAGTTTGGCTAAAATCTTTTGTTTATATAAATTTCAACACTTGCTCTTTACTTTTAATTTTGCCTTGTACTTACATATTCTGTATATTAGATGGCTATGTCCTACCAAGCTTCAACCTGCATTTCAAAAGCTGTTACGTAATGATAGGGCCCGCTATTCTATGCAAGAGAGGTCGGGAATCTATAAAATTTCGTTAACACACAATAATTTCTTAATTTTTATACATTGAAGAGAGATCAAGAATGACTGAACAAAGTAACAGAACACTAAGATGACATCCAACACAATAGACATACCACAGAGTTAGATAAAATGGTTTTAGAACATTGCTTTGAGCCCCCGTGGACAGAGACTGTTTTACTCCACCCAAGCATGGATCAAAAACATTGTTTATTTGAGAATCATCATATATTCTAACATGTAACCAATATTGCATATAATCAAACCACTACTAAGCTGCAAGATTTATGGGCTTTACTTTTTGGGATAGTTAAAAAGGATTAATTAGTATTTTAGGATCCAATTTAGGTACCACCACACCCTCTCTGTTCTAGCCATTTATTAAATGTGTACTTAAATTTATGCATGGCGAAAAATTGTATTCAGTGTTTCACATGTTACATTTAATGTTAACCTGATTTAAAATAATATTTAAGTTTTAAAATATACAATGTTAGAAGTGTAACATGTAAAAAAGGATTTCCTTTCTCTCCTATACATAAAAATTTTTTTTAATATATGTTATCATTTCAATTTTGTAAGATTGTATTCTATCTCTTGAACATTCTAAATAGTTTTGGATATTTTGTGTTCCAAGTCAGTTCTATCTTGCCTCAGGACGACATTCGTATACTGTCAGAAGTAATTAAAATTGGTATAGTACTAAAAAGACTGTTGCACTTCTTTCTCTTTTTTAAATAGAAAAAAAATCTCCTGCACAAAAACAAAAATATATTAACAAAAACTTAAAGATATTGCAAATATAAATTTTTGAAAATACTCCATGCATGAGAATACATTACTAATGCGTATCCAAATACAGTAGATGGATTGTTAGAGTAAGACTATCGGCCTGTACGATCCCTTGATTTAAATCCTCTAGATTTTTCTTATGAGGGCAGTGTTCATGCTACTTAAATTATCAATGCAGAAGTTCTAAGAGAATGGATTGTCAAAAGCTGAAGAATAATTTGTAATATCTCTGGTGTATTTGAGCATGTTTGACAATCAATAGTAAGACACTGGTAAGCCTATGTGGATGGTTCGTGGGGAGCATTTCAAGCACTTGCTCTGATGTTCACATGCTTGAATTTAATAAATCAATTATGATTAGTAGATGAATTTATTAATATATTACTTAGACTTAAAAACAAAAACGTCATCATTACAATTTGATTGTCAATAACTTGCTATCAAGGCTTCAGATCAAAAAACAGCACTCAACTTTATTCAGGTCTATAAACCTGTAAAATTTGGCCAAATATTTTTAAAACTTAAATTGAAGACACAGACTGTTGAAAAAAGAAATAATAATTTATTCATTTTCAATTTTCCGGAATACAAACTTTTGACCACTGACCTTTCATTGTAGGCAACTTGTCCGTCAAAATTAAAATTTCCCTTAAAAACAAAGAAAATATACTATTAAAAACACAAATTTAAGAATGAGAACTGGCAATGCCACAGACGTCTTTCTTTCCATCCTTACGACTTGGAGACTGCAGAGCTTTTTATGTACTAGAATTTTAATTTTGACAGCCAAGTAGACTACAGAGAAAGGTCAGTCATCAAAAGTTTGTATTCCAGGACATTAAAACTGAATAAACGATGATTCCTTTTTCAACAGACTGTCTTCAAAAACAATCATCATGAAACCCGATAAGTTTGTAACCGAACAACAACCAGATTACATCGGGCTAGTTTTCTGCAATTATATTTAATTACTAATGCCTCCCTCTAGTAACAAATTATTTAGTAATTAATTAAATATAAATCGCAAAAAAGTAGCCTGATGTAGTCCAATGGTTGTTTGGCTGTGTCTTCAATTTAATTTTGAACTTAATTGCCATCCAACGAAATTCTACACATTTTTAAAACATTCTGTATAAATAATATATTTTTTTAATTTAAATTCTGTATTCTCAAAGCATCTAAATAAATAAAAGCAAGAGTACTTTAAGTGTTTATGTTTCATTGGTGCTAATTAAATGGTATCACTGAACCGTGTCAATAATTCTGTTGTTATTTTGATAATTATGGAAAGAAAGTATGTTTACTTGAAATAAAAGTATTTTTTTTTATACCTATCTTTATCTTACTGTTTATTTTAAGAAAGAAAATTTTTAATTGGAATATTTAATATGTACTAGTACTTGTTCATACCAATACAGTTTAAAAAAAATGTAGTGATGCATATTCATGAACTACTCGGTCTAGTTTTTCTCTGTGTGTTGGCAATTATTATTCGTGTTGGCTGTCTTATATTGATTTCCACTAAGATAATAATGCTCTTTAAGGAAAATAATTTCAAATTTTTGCAATTCGTTTACTAAAACGTTGAACGACAGAAATATGTAAGAAATTGCCTAAGGAGCTTGACTAATTGAACATTTTGTAGTGAGAATTTATTAGAAATATAACTTTTGAACTTAAACAGCAAAAATTTCTTAATAAGTAGGTGTTTTATAAGATACAGGCAGTCCTTCATTAGCATTTTTAACACATTGAATTTCTCAAAAGCAGAATTTTGAAGGAAAACACATCAAACAAACTCTCTATACACCTTGTAGTTGTGACTGTTGAAACTATACCAAAAAAGTGGTCTGTAGTTGGAAAATTGCCCTTAATTAATGAACCACATGAGAACAAAATTAACTGAAGACTAGCTATACATTACAACATTGTGTGATTAGTACTAATTGAGTTTTTGCATGCAACTATTTATATTGAGTCCATTGATGGCACAGTGGCTAAACCACCGAACACTGGTAGTCAATTGTGGGTTGCGCCTCAACGACAGGCCGGTCACGTGGCATTTTCCTTCATGTTTAACACCTAACTAGGGACTGATTTCTCACAGAAAGACCTCCCAGTAGATGTCTCTCCTTGGCAGATTGCCCACAAGTCACTTTGCTGTACACAAACAACAAGCAAGCAATTATTTATAAGTTAAATTAGATCTCATTAAAAATGTATTCCATGTTCAGTTTAATAAATTAGTAATTCTATTAAAATCTGTAAATGTTTTTAAAACTCCATTTTTGCAAATGTGTTTCTCTTAGTTTTAATATATTACAATATAACAACGACAACATAATTATACTTACCATACTTTGGATCTTTTAAATCGAGTAAATCAAAATATTGATATTTCGATCCATTAACTTCTAATGGCTTAAGTAGATATTGAAATGGATTAACAGATCCTACAAAATCAAAAGTTATTTAATTAGATGCATTGAATAACATGCTAAGTTTACACACAAAGTTAATAATAGTAATTAATTAAAAAGTAATTTATTTATCACTTAAGTAAATGTTTTATGGGTATTTTATTTATTTAAATAAAAAATATACCTTTATCATGTATCTTTACTTTCCTATCAAAAACCTTGCGCTACAGATTAAATTATAGAGAATAAATTAATAATTTTACTATGTTATTAGGAAGCTTATAATGCAACACACACAAGACTTTTTCACAAAAAATTTCCTAGATTAGCAATATGCTGTTTGTTATAATTCGATCAGTGTTTCTGACCATCTCTAGGTTGTGAGTATTAAGACACTGCAACTCTATTTTATCCAATTTTCTGAATGCAAAGAGATGCAATGTAAAATTGCAATATGATGCACCAAACTGACTTAAATCAAAGGCCCTAGTTTGTCTATCTCTCTCAAAACAGGAATTAGTGGGTTGTCGGGCTACATTACAGCAAATTTTAATAAAATTTTAATCCGTCTACATTGTCAGGACCATTGTTCTTCAATCTTTTCACCGGCGATGTAACTCTTTATACATAAAACTTCAAATAATTTACGTTCATTTATATTTAAGTTCAAGTGACTTAAACGGACATAATGCTTTCTTCAATCTTCACCCAAAGAGGTCCTCATGCAAGCACTAATATTCAATTTAGTATTTCAATTCACAAAATAAAGGACAAAACGGCCATTTTAGAAAAACAATAGCTCTAAAGGACAGAGCAGTGAAATATAGTACATTCATCATCATACCTTCCTTACAACAAACATTTTTGGCCTAGTTTAAGGGCCTGCTTCGTGTTCTACACCTTCAAATCAGAAGATAAATTAAATCATTCAGTTTGAAGGTGTAGAACATGAAGCAGGCCCTTGAACTAGGCCAAAAAGCTTCTAAAAAAGCATTGTTAGAAAACATAAGGAAGGTGTGTTATAGATGAATGCTAGGATAAGTTCAGCTTTGAAAGATACATTGAAATAAATGACATATGATCACTGTAAATATAACTAATTTATAGGTCAATATATAAATAATTTTTAAGAATTAATTTAAATTCGGCCTTTTTTAGACTCTTAAAAACTGTTCCAGTTTAAGCAATATCTAAATAGTCTAGATAGCAAATGCTACACGTGCCAATTCCTCTTGTGTGCATTGTAGAAGTTTGCTGCATTTCTCATTTTCTTAAAAATGAGTAATGCAATTTGCAGACAAGATTTTGTATTGTTTACTGCACGTTTCTAAAAATATGTATTTTATATAATTTCGTTGATGTTTTTAACATTTAATAAGTAAACAAAACATTACATTTTTTCAGCATGTAGCTAGCAAACATTGCTTCCTAAGCAGCAGTAAACATGTCAAATATAGAAGTCTAGAAATTATATATGTATACAACAAAATATAGTTGTAGCCTGTCTTTCTGTTAACAATCCTATCATTCTTGATTTAAACTTGCAATTCCTTGCCACACTTATATTTTCTAGACTATGTATTTAATTATCAGTACAGTGTTTTCTAAACAATTCAATCTCTGTAGTCTATAAGTCTACATGCAGGCAACAAGTCTGTCCATAATTTAAATTCTGTAATTGAATCGATTAGTGCAATTATAATTCGGTATATTGCAGTAAATTTTCGCAACCGAAACGAGTGTTATTAGCTTTTGAGTCGTGTACGTCGGCACTAACTTTGGTCAATTTTACAATGTGAATTCGAGCAGATTGCATGTTAGCCAACACTGACATCTATTTGAAAGTATTTTAATTTCGGCTGGATTTGCCTGCATTTTTTACGTTAAGGTAAAAGCTCAGTTTTCGCATATTTTTTTTTTATTCAATTTGGTATTTACAACCAGTTTTCATTTTTGAGAAGCTAAATTTTGCTTAATCACAAGAAGATTAAAAAAATAATACAATAAAATAATTATTTATCTTAAATGTGTTCTACTGCAATTCCCATTGTTGACCGTCAAACTGTGTTAGATCTTAAGAGTTTCTTGTACGCTTACATTGATAGAAAACATTGTTTTCTGTATTAATACGAATTACAAATCTCATTTTATTTTATTGATCGATTCATACTCAGTCATTATTATTATTACTATAGTCTTGATAATTTTTTAGTTTTTGAAATGAATCAAAGTACAAATTCTTTTGTTAATCTTGAAATAATTTGACGGCAACAACGGGCAAGTGACACTATACGCACCGAAATTTTTGTGGAGGAAGATATGACCGTCATCAAATTATCTCAGTTTAAGATTCTCTTTCTCAAATATGGCTTGTAAATATGCCAATAGTAAATCCTGAAAATCATTCGGAATCAAATCTGCCAAACATCAAAAGCAGACTTTAAAAATGTTTAATCATGTAAATTATTGAAGGGATATATTTTGAATGTTGAATTTGAAATTGTCAAAATGCTAGATGATCAAGAAAGTAAAGGCACCAGCCAGCCACTCCGAGGGACCCATAAGTTTGAGCTAAAGTAGTCTCTTTTTCGTGGGACAATCGGCCCCGATACGAGACCTCGTCCCTCGTCACTCAGCCGATCACGGCCAAATTTTGAATTACAGTAATACCCCGAACTTACGCGATAGGCGGGACCGAGTGATAACCGTGTAAGTCGGGGTATAATTTCGCAATTTGTGTAAAATCCAAGTCGGATGTATGTAAGCTAATAAATGTTCTCGTTAATCTTATCTCGTCTTTTGATTCGTTCACGGTTGCTAGAAATCCCCACATAGATTCTCTCAAGTATCCATAGATATAACAAACACAGAAATAAATAACAAAATAAATTGTAGCTATGTCGATTCCGCGAGACATGTCCAAACATGTAAGCTGAACAATAGTGTGTGGGGAGTGAGTAATCAAGAGTTGTGTGGCGCTCAAACAAAAGACGAATCGACGAGATTTGAAAATCGCGTAACTCCGAGTTCGCGTAAGTCGAGGTATGACTGTACTTTTAACAAGGTTTAATTATTATATTTTATTCCCTGATGATTAGTTATCTTTGCATATTGTTGCTTAGTAACCTTTATTTTGTTTAGATAATTTACAATACCAATGATTATACAACAAGAAAAAAAATTGTAGAGTCATTTGACTCTTTTTAATTCAAATTTTAAGATTAGAGAGATAAAAAACTTTAAAATAAGTTGGATATTTTTTACTGAAACAATTCCTGTTAAACAAAAATAAAACTACAAAAATTAGGAAGTTTATTTTAAATAATTTTATTATCAAAAACTTTTTATTAATAGAAATGTGAAATTTTAAGCTAAAATCATAGCATTTACTTCATAATAGAGAAACTTTTCAGTTAAATAAAACTGTGTGCATGTAAATGTAACAATAGAATGTCCATCTTCAGACAGTGTTGTGAAACTATGAGATTGTAATTATCATTCTTCTTATCTGTTGAATTAAATAAAAAATTATCATCTGAAAACTTATTGGCTAATTTGTTCGATTCCACTGCAGTATAACTACACTCAAGTAAGATTCTATTTATAAAACTTTTCTATACAAAATACTAAAATCATGTTTTACAAAAAGGATTGTTTTTATTTTTGAACAACTTCAAATAAATAAAGGATTAATTTTAAATATGTCCAAACTGAATTTAATGCACTGGTGATCTGGACTGGATATGTCGCATTCCCACCCATGCCATGTGATCGGCACAGGTGGGAATGCGACATATCCGAGCCAGAAATTACTAATCTAGTATTCTTGCTAATCTGGTACCTCTATGCAAGGAATAGCTGGATTAGCAAAAGTCTCATGTACATTATTAAGCAGAAAAAAAGTATTCTTAAAAATATTTTAATCATGTAAATGAATTTTAAAAAAATGCTCTCTCCAATTATACAACTCCATTTAATTCTAATGAAAAACAAATTACTACTTCACTATCACATTCAACGATCGTTTTATTCTTTAAATCTTTGATTCAATTGTATCAGAAATTCATTTATCGTCTTCAGATTGAAAAAATATTGTCTATGATTAAAATAGTTTGAACCTGAAACTTCTCTCCTGATTTTAAATCATTGAAACATACCTAAATTTGTCATCAATGGAGATTACAACACAAAGGTAAAAGGAATAACATGCAGCAAGCTCTCACTACTATTATAATCTTGTTGATTTTCATTTTTATTCTTCTTTATTCAATATATAGATCAAAACTCTCCTTACAAGAAACAATCTGAAAGTTGCTATTTTGTAACAAAAAGGATGATAATGGTTATAGCCATCGGTTTTCTACACAATGGTGTACTGTAGCCTTCTTTTCCAATGGTTATTCTAAATCTTCTCAAAGCTAGTTATGTAGTAAATAACTCCAACAAAACATTACAATTAAACCAGTAAATAAAGTTTTTAATATATTTTGACAAGCGCTTTCGATCCGAATTGGAATCTGCTTCGGGTCAAACGTTCTATACAAAAATTGTAATGCTTAAAGAGCAATTTTAAATTTTAAAATCACTAACGATTAAATATTTGAACAAATACAAAAATTTCCACCTACATGCTAACCGTTAGTGCACAGATGGGAATTTTTGTATTTGTTCGAATATTAAATCTTTAGCGATTTTAAAATTTAAAATTGCTCTTTAAGCATTCCCAATTTTTGTATAGAATGTTTTTGACCAGAAGCAGATCCCAATTTGGATCAAAAGTGCTGGTCAAAATATATTAAAAACTTTATTTGCTGGTTTAATTATAAAGATTTATTGGAGTTATTAACAATTATTCTTATATACAGGTTCATTATCATTACTTCTTTCTGTTTACTGATCTAATCTGAAGACCACACACACCCGTTTCTGAAGAGGTCCTTTTTCGCAACATTGCTCTAACTGTCCTAGCTAACTCGAGCGGGGTCCTTCATTATTCTGTGGATTGTACTTCATTCAAACATCACTTTAGCCTCGGTTTCAGGATGCAACACGTAAGAATGGCCAAGAAGCTAGTGTTAGGATTCAGCAGAGGACCCATTTTGAACAAGAGAAGGGATCATCCAGATCTTCTGAAGTTGGCCAGATATGCATCGAGAAGCAAGACACATCATACCCTAACAGCCAACGAGCCATTCAAACCCTTTCCTCATGCCATAAGCTTCACTGATGACAAATTTACATATATTTAAAAATAGGGAAAGATGTTCCAGGTTCAAAACAGTTTTTATTCCAGAACAATATTCATTCAATCTGAAGGTGAGAAATGAATTTCTTGAAAAGCATTTAATCAAGGATTTAAAGAAAAGACTCCTTGAACATGATAATGAGGTAATAATTGAGCTTTAGTATGACAAGCTATTTTTAAATAAAAGTTTTCTAAGTATAAAATTAAAACAATACATTTATATTTAGTGATGATTATTAATTCAATATTAACTTCTATTATTTTTGTATTCTAATGAAGTATGAACTGGTGTGACTGTTGGTTATTAACTATATAAAATTAAAACAATTCACTTTTTTCTTTTTTGAAGAATTTGCAAATTTTTATCATTTACATGTTTTTAACTGTTTCAAAATCTATAGAAATTATTTAAATTGTAAAATAAAATAGGATAAATTTAATGTGTGCCAGTTACATGATGATGATTAATTATATTTTGTTGTAAGATTGGAAGAATTTCTATTATAAGCACATTATGGCTTAAACAAGAATTATAATTGCAAATGTGCCAGTTTTAAGTAAAACAGAAATTAATTTTTATTTACCAAATATAAAAAATTTAACTGTATAATTGAATTAGTACTTAGAGAATAGAAATACTTTTATTTTAAATTGGCAAGCAAATAATGTTTTTATGTTAAGTTTTACATATTTTCTATTCTTACCAAGTTTATCATTCTTAATATTTTATATAGATTTTAACAAATTAAAATGTAGTAATGAATGTCAAACAATAAATATTAATGACTATATCAAATTTGAGATATATTAAAATAAGATGTAATTCATTATAGCATATTTCATGCATGCATGTATTTTAAAAAGCATTAGCATTTAAATATCTAATACAGTGGACTCTTGCTAATGCAAACTATTTTATGGAATTGTTCAAATTACATTTATATATAAAGCAAAAGTTGAAAAGGATTACAGACAAATATATAATGTGCAAAATTTTTTAAAATATACTGTATTTGTTAAAATGTATAGTATTGATACATATTAATTTTACAAATTAATTCATCATGTTTTGAAAATCTATGATTTCTTTTCGTTTTGTCTGGAAAATTTAATGGAGAAACAACCAAAATTGGTTTGGATTTTTCAGAGTTTGAATTAGTGTACTGTATTATTATTATTATTCAGCCATATTAACAAATACACTTGTGTGTTTAAGAGACAATGTGTAATAATTTGATTCAAGCAAATGTGTCCATCATTTTTTTCTTAAACCAATCAGAAACAAAATTAAAGATAANGGTTGGTTTAACTAGCCACCATCAGGTTCAAAATGACATTTTTGGAATCCTTTAGTTGCATGTAGTTTGAACCCGATGACGGCTACTTAAGTTAGCCGAGAACATTTCGCTGAATCGATAAGACAGAAAAGGCACTAGCCTGCTACGAGAGATTCAGGTTGGCTAAAGTTTTCTTACATTAGATAGGCTGACCTGGATATTGGGATCATCCCTGAACATTTAACTGTGACTCTGGAGCAATTCATAATGGATAAAGAAAAAGAACATTCTTAGTAATCACAGAGCCAAGAAGGGGAAGAAATTATGAATAATTTTCATTGCAGTATTGGCGCACAGTATTTTATTATATTATGTAAATTTCGACATTAAAAAATATTTTAAAACACCTTTATCCATTACGAATAATTTTCAAACCATTTGCAATTATAAGTTCCAGTGCTTTTAAAGTACAAATTAATTTGTTTGAATTTGTTTAACATTAAATTCCATATATCAAAAATAAAATTATATTAAGTATTTCATACTCTTTTGGTAGTATTTAATTTTAAAAGCAAACTGTTACCACCAAAGACGTGGGATCAAATCAAGGCTCGGGTAACCAAATTTGTAATTACAGGAAATAGATGGAGACTCCGAAAGACACAAGAGGAGGAGAAAAGATGCAGAGGCAGCGTCAAAAGGAAAGACGGCGACGGCGGCAAGGGAAGAGAAGGCAGGCAAATGCGGCATCATAAAAAAACGGGCACACGCAGTTTTTGACCGCAAGAACTTTCCCAACACCCGTGGACCACGCCCGTAGAAATCCGGTGCACTCCATTTAGACGCGAAGCCAAGCAACCGGAAACATCACAGCAAAAATCTCACAAAGGGTCGCAGATACGAGTACGATTCTGTCGACTTTTTTGCCATATGGAAGGAGTCGACAATTCCGGGGTGGGCGAGAAATCCTTCGTTCACGGTCAACATCCTACCAAAAGTAACAGTTGGCAAACGATTCATTCTTTTTTTTATTTTCGACGTCCGTAACGGACGATTGCGGATCACTATTTTAAGGAAAGCGGCACCGAAATCTCAAAAGGCACGCACGGAAAACTGCAATCTCCGTCACCCTCTCGACGGTCCGGCCACTTCTCGCCACCCGGGCCTTTTTCTCCGAGAGAACTGCAGAACAATTTACTTTCCATCGCAGACGGTCGGGAGACACGCCGACGAAGAATCGGGGCACTCGGACAATGCCAACTTAATAAAAGCAAGAGTCACGGCCACATTAAGAAAACAGCCAATTTCATAAACAGACTTTTTTTCCTTTTCGTCGACACTTACGACTTTTAAATGATCACAACAGAAACTCCTCGCCGATTTCTCATTGGAGGGACGTATCTTATCGACGAGGGGAGAAGTTTCGCCAACTTCTTATCTCGTCGGAGACATACGCGAACTTTTAGAGCCAAGAAAACCGACGACGAAGAACTTAGGAGGAAAATTACAAGGAAAAAAGGGAAATAAACAGGGAGGCCCGCGGACTCGGACCTCCGCCTCCGCGCCACACGCGCGTATGACGAAGCGGGTCGAGAGACGACCCGTCGGGCCCTTTAACTCGGGGTTAAAGGGCCCGAGGATGTCCGCTAATTCTCCTTCGGGATGCCGTCGCAGAGGAAAATCGAATCAGAGGGCCCGACGGAGGACGTTTCGCCGTCGACCCGCTTTCCTCTTTCCACCGCCGCGTTCCTACAGCCCGAACGATAGCGTCCGGAAGAACACAACGCCGACCGGCGAGACAGAAGAAACAGAGTGACTCACCTCGCGCCGCCATTCTCGTCTCTGCTCGACTCACGTCGTCCGTCGGCGTGCCAATTTGTCCGCCGCGCTCATTGGCTCCCGTTTCGTGGAACGACGGCGGCACCGACGGCCCCTTTTGACAAATAAAATTAATATTCGATGAATTATCGGTTACTCGCACGAATAATTATATTGATAAAATAAAAATAAAATTGGTCTTATAAGACGAGAAAGTTAATTTTTTTGGTATTTTCTGGTTAGCAGAACAGAATATCAAACGGTTCTAGGAACGCTTTTGTTACTTCCGTACAATTTTTATCGATGTAATTATCAATATAATTATGTTTAATAATAGTAATAACGATAGATATATTTTCCTTCGAAGATTAAGAGTCTAAAAACTCTCGACAAAGTAACAAAAGTAGCGAAATTCCAAAATTTTCTTCCCTCTCTAACTGTTGTGAACGAAGTTGCCACTCGCGACATATGGAAAAACTTGGGTCTGGATGGGAAAAAACCCAGAAAAATGTAATTATAAATACTTTATCGCAGTACATTCACGCTGTTATAATTACAGACACTATAATACAAATTAAAAAAAACCATTTATTACCTAATTTACACAGTAGTTAATGTTATTTCACTACTACTCTGTTTTTCGTTTTCCATTACTGCACAATCTTTCCAGTACTGCACAATCTTTATGCTCTTCTTGTTGCTTCCTATACCTTTGGTGGCAAACTCCCTGTAGTGCATCTCTAATTAGTTCAGGTTTGGGTTCCTACATCAAAAAACAGCGGCCGGATGGCCGAGCGGTCAAGGTGGCAGCCTACCGCTTCGACTGAAATAATTAAATCCTAAATATGCGGCCGGATGGCCGAGCGGTCAAGGTGGCAGCCTACCGCTCTGGGGGACCCGGGCTCGAATCCGAACGGGTCGAAAAATCCCCCAAAATTTTTCTGGGGTGGTCCGTTCGGATATGTCGGGTCCCGTCCCTCACTACCCGACAGCCTGTGGGCCTGGCCGAACCCATAATGGGCTTGCAAAAAGAGGCCCTCTTAGTGCCCACAGGGCAGAAAGAGTAAAAAAGAAACATCAAAAAACAGGTTGCTTGCTAAACAAGCAACCTGTTTTTTGATGATTCAATAGTTGATTTGTGACAAACTAACAGGTTTGGTCACAAATTAACATTAAGACCAAACCTGTTAGTTTGTTTGGTCCGCTCGACTACAAATGACGTAAATCCAGAATCTGACAGGAAGTGGCTAAATCGGCTGTACGAGGTTGCCTTCAGGGGTTGCCAAAGTGGTCGATATCGACCCCCAGGGATCGATATAACATTATTGAGGGGGGTCGATTATCAAGCTTAAACTAAAGATAAGAGGGAGCTAAGGATCAAGCTTATCCGTCTCACTGATTGTCAGTTACAAAAATTATTATTAATAAATATACAATGAAACTTTTGTTTTTAGTTGGCTGAAGAGGGGCAATAAATGCCCGAAACGTGTGTAAATAATATCAACACGTATCAACTAAATAAAATTTTATGATAAAAATTGCCAAGTGCCTGAAAATAAATACAATAATAATTTGTGTTTGAATTACTACAAATATACAATGAAAGAAATGTAAAATTAAAAGAAATGTATTAAAATAGTAAGTGCTTTTTTGCTTGTAACACAAACTTTTTGACGGGGTCGATGCGCGGTTTCGAAAACTTGTAGGGGGTCGACGATGAAAAAAGTTTGGCGACCCTTGATCTAGGACCATGGGTTTAACCAGAGTCGATAGATATACTGGTCCTTGCGCTGCCGATAGCTCTAATGCTACGATACTGGCGTAGTACATATTTCTGCCACTTCGAGCGCGTCTAGGCGTAAGTTTGGCTGGAACATAGGGAGAGTCAGCTGTAAACATTCAAAATTCTTTTAAAGAGGAGGATTATATATCAGTAGATTAAGTTTTTGGATTTCAAATATAGGCTGTTAGAGGAAAAAGAGAAAATTCCAACTATTTAGACAACATATTTACAGACACATAATAACTTAGAGGTAATTAGAGGATGATGAGTTAGAGGTTGACAAATAAAGCAGGCATTTTTTTAAAAACTCTTTTTACCCTGTGGGCACTAAGAGAACCTCTTTTAGCAAGCCTATTATGGGTTTGGCCAGGCCCACAATGGGCGGCCGGGCCCGACATTTCTGGACTGACCATTCCCCGAAAAATTCCTGGGGATTTATCGATCCGTTCGGAATCGAACCCGGATCTCCCAGAAGCGGTAGGCTGCCACCTCGACTGCTCGATCATCCAGCCATCTATTTAAATCAGTGGTTCTTAACCTTTTAGTGATGAGGGACCATTTATCAAAATTTTTGTCTTGTCATGGACCACGAGCTGTTTGGCAGTAATATAAGTTCTTATAAGGTTGTTCTATAAATTAAACACGTAGAAAATTATTCGAACCAAGAGTATTATATTATTTGCGAAAGTGTTACATTAATTACATTATTTTAGTGCGATTTTTGTGACTGCATACTGTTTACCAACTGCTGAATTCTTGGTTCAGTGCTACTCAAAGGAAATGCATGTCGGCACTGGCATCCAACTGATTT